TACAAGTGGGAGTTTTGATATCGTTGGACGTCCATTTTACTAACCGATTTCTCCATAACATTCTAGACATGCTTAGTTAATTTATGAATATTTTTATATAATTTTTTAATCTCTAGATTTGAAGATATAGATAGATTATGAGTTAAAAGTTGATTAATTAGTATAATTATATTTAAGTCATTATAATATTTTACAAAAAAATAATATCTAAAAATATAATGACTTTTATTAAATGGCTTGTTCGTCTCAAGGTAGATTTACTAATTAGATGAAGGGAATGTTTTGGCATGTTTTAGTGATGAAAATATCAAATATTGAAAGTCAAAATTTTGGGATTTTTTATAAATCCGAAAATAATATTTATTTTTAAATAAAATTAAAAATGTTGGAGATTTAAATCCTTGTAAGAGTAATTGAAAATATATTTTCCCTTAGGTTGGAATAAGGAAAGGTGATAAGGATTTATGCGGGAAATTTTGCAAAGAAATGCTTGAGAGTAAGTGACTCTATATGCTAGGAAACATGTTCATTTCTTTATATATATCTAGCTTTATGTTATTGTTTGCAAAGAAAATAGAAATTTTATGTTCAAAGTCTATATATCATATTCACGCTCAATTGTTACTTAATGGTTTTAAATTATATGTTAGAAAATTCCTTAGCAATTCATATGAAATCATGAGCATGAGCATCTTCTTACCATCTTCATGCTTAACTCTATCATACATATGATATATGAAATGTGTACTAGCTTGAGATAAATGAAATATATGGCTTGTGATTGTTGATGGCGGAGTACCAATATGTGGCTCTTTGAGCAAATACGGCCTTTGAGGTAATATGGAACGAAATAAAAATGATATGACCATTAATGATGTGTACCTGATCAGTATAATTCGGTACTCCGGGATGGATGTATATAATATGAATAAAAAGATAAGCATATGATTGCATATCTCATGTTAAACATATCTCATGTTAAGCAAACAAATCTCATGTTAAGCAAGCATATCTTTTGTTAAGCACATAGTCAACTTAGTACATGCTTCAAGACATACATTAGCATTTGTTATTAACCTACAAGTTATCTTCTTTTATATGCACATGAACTTTAGCTGTAGTTGTCAATTACTGAGCGTAGCTCACTTCTAGCTTTGAGAAATTTTCAGAAGAACCCTCTCATAAGTGATGGCGGATCACCCGAGGTTTACATATAGTCGTCGCGCAACGGGTGATAGGTTCTTACTTGTTTTTCCTAGTTATAGTTATTTTCTTTTGGGTGGTTTTTATCATAACATGAATAGATTAAGTTTATACCACCTTGTACATGAACTTCTTCTTTTTTTTAATGGTTAGAATGTTAAATACACGTTTTGGAAAAGTTTAGAGGTGCTTTTATGTTTCCATTGAAGTCTTTTGGGATTGTTATATATGAAATATGATGATTAAATTGTTTTGATCGTCCGACTTTGTTCCCGCCTCGTATTTACGATCTAACCGGGTCGGGTCGTGACAAAAGTTGTCCCAAAAGAAACCTAAGATCGACGATCAACATTAGATTAAGTGCCAAACACTACTAGAGCAAGATAAAGAGTCAAGATGAGATTAAAAACAATGATGGATCTACCACAAAATCAAGATCAAGGGCCAAAAAGAATTCATGCAATACAAAAAATGAAATAAGTACAAATTTGAAAATATTTGCAGTTATACATATGATTAAAATTAAAATTTCAAATTTTAAATTTGCCCTCCATATGGGAGAGGCCTTTATTTATTTATTTCCCGTGCTTAAATATTGAATTATCCTTGTTTGGAGGCCACTAGGGATGGCCCCACTTGATTGGAGTGATTTCAGTCCTTTTTTATATTTGCTTCCTTAAATTTAAGGATTTTCCTACATTTCTAGTTTCTTTGAATTTGAAACATTAGAATCTAATCACTTAAATTTTTTTTTAATGAATGAAAAATAATTTTTTGCGTTTTAATAAAAATTTGAGAGTGAAAGCTCTAGGGATACATGCTGGGTGGTTGAACCCCGCTTTGAGTTACTATTGGTGGAAGACTTAGATATTCCTATTATTATTCTACAAGTTTTCTTCCCTACCTATAATTAACCAAAAAAAAAAACTCAACAAGCCTTTTCACAAGGGTTGGACATATTAGGGCAATCCTTAACTTAATCTTCCTCTCCCTCTTCCAACTATTTATAAACCTCTTAAATTCTAATGAAAAACTCCAAAACTGAACTTCACACAACCCTCTACCACATTCATGCCTCTTCAGTCTCTAAAGACACCACATAACCATCATCCAATCAAATACTTCAAGACTAGCCTAAATCAGCCCAAACTAGACACTATAATGTAGTCTTGGTCCAACCCCCGTTACACACTCTTAAACCTTTTGGATCTTCACTGAAAGCTCAAGATCACATCTCCCAACATTCCCCTAATAATCCCAAAGTGATCCATGCCTTAAATCCCCTACAATGCCACAAACTTAAAGATGAAACACAAGGACAATTCTAAAGTTAGCATACCCTAAGCACTCAGACAACTTCCTAACCTTGGCCAAAACATAAATAAAATTCCTACAATCAACTAGATGAATTGCTCACATTCTTAGCCACCCCCCATAGCAATTAGAATCCATGGATCCACCCATCCATGCCTAGGTCATAAACAGTACATCCCATCCAAGCATCTTACTTGGGATGACAATGATCAATTGCTCTTCAAAACCACATTGATTCAAACTTGATGGGGCACATGGAGCATACGGTGGTGAGGTTAGACCAACCATAAGAGCAGAAGTGAAGAAACAAGTTGAAGTCAAACAAAGAACCAAAACAAAAACCAATTGAAGATTTTATTTAAAATTTGCATTTCTTACGTGTGTCATGATTATTATAAGGGAATTATGTAAAAGATTTTTCAATTTTAGGCATTACCAAAATTTGAAATTTTAAAATTCAAAATTTGAAAATTAAAATTTTAGAGGCAATTTTAAATTGAACTAAAATGGAATTAGTGGTTAGAAAATTTATAAAAAAAATGCAAGTTTCCAAATAGTTATAGCACTCTTACTCTTTGAAAGAGGTGGTTCCAAATAGTAAATTTTATGTGTATCTGCCAATTGCACCATTTCAAGTGGGCCAGCCCCAACCCCTCTCTCCACTAAATTTTATTTCAATTTCAAGCATTGTAAAACATATAAATATTGTTCAAATCAATAGTTACTGGATGAATAATATTTTGATGAAATTTTTTAGCATTTACTCTTTGGAAAGCAACTTGGCGGCCGATTTTTTCTATCAGACAGTGTTTGGTGACATTGTACCATCCTAGCATCTTTTGCAACTTGCAAGATTTTTATCACTAAGAACCTGACCCTCTTTTATTACATAACTCTACCTATACAGTCCCTCAAAAGTTTTCTACTTTAGGTCCATACACACAATATCAAATCCACTAATAGATAATCACCTAAAAAGACAACATGGTATTACCAAACTATAATTTTACCTCCCATGGTTGTCACTTTTCATGTCATAGTATTTCTTGTCAATAGTTGCTCCTCTTGTTGTCATCAGCCTATCATTATGATAAAGTCTACACTTTCTATGAAAAGACGTCAACGCTCATGAGCCATCAAGAGATAACTGAAGTGAGTGTATGTGACATGGATGGTGAGAGACAACCAACAAAGACAAGACGTGGCAATGGGTAAGAAGAGGTTAAAATAGCAAGGGACTAACAACTTAATAAAGGTTTAAACGCCAATAGGTCTTTTAGTCGTTCATTTGCAACTAGGTAGTAAGGACTCAAGCAAAATTTGAGACCACTATCCATATTAAAAGGAATCTAGAGTAAAGGAATAAAAACCTAAAGAGACCAAATTTTACTGCACTCAAAACTAAAAAGCCTAAATGTTATTTAACTCTTTACCAATGTATAAATCTAGTATTCTATCTAATATGTTTGTAAATCTAAAGCCCTCAATAAAACAAATTATTTGCTTAGCTTTTTTGTTTTATTAATTCTTAAATCGACTATTGACAATTATGTCGAGTGGTTTGATAAGAGAAATCTATGGCCTTTAAAAACATTACATTTCATTCTCATAATGTATCTTAGATTTGGAAAACTCACATTTAAATGTAGAACTTGCTACTTCAAGAAATATTCAGATTTCACATCACATAGATGTGTATGCCTTTACCATCTCCATCTTATATCACAATGCATACACAAGAATATTTCCAGATTATATTTTATTAAACGGTTTGTCTTCTTACATTGCTCAAACCCTATAAATGGAAATTACACATAAACGATGAAGTCAAAGGTTACACACTTTGCTAAAGGGACATGCTTTCACTTTTTATGAACCAAATATATTATAGAATTTTAATGACATAACAAAAAAGTAAGCATGTATTACCCGATAAAGTAATATGATCCATAATTACAATTCAAGGATAGAAGCAAAAAGTAAATCAATGCTTATCTTGCTTGTCATTATAAACATAGGAAACAATGTTTCCTTAAACATAGGAAAACAATGTTCCTCAAAATAGTCATCTTATAAATCAGTAGTGAAAGTCAGAACTCAATGATCAAGCCATGTCTTAAGCCGCAAAAAATACTAAGTAGGTGTTGCAAATAGAGTAACAAAAGGGGGTGGAGAGAAAGCGAATGGGTGGAGAGAGATATAAAGAGAATGAATGAATGTATCCACCACACTCTCTCTTCAATCTCTATCTACATTTCTAATACTACACGCAATAATGTGTGGTGCGTGAGACCAACCTAACATCTACATTTACTAGAATGATGGTCTGTGATGAATTTAAAACTATTACACTTTTATTGTCTGCGGAAACCAAATAACTTGACGTTTCACTCAACAGCGTCAGTGCGTCACCCATGTTCAAGGAAACACCTAAAAACAAATCATGTCAACCCACCAAAATTTGTCGAGCAAGCCAGTAAAATACAGCTTTCTAGGCACTAACTCGAATGGAAAAGCAAGACCACGCAATCAACTAAGAAAAGTGAAGCCGAAACCCTACCTTTCTTAAGACCAGGACAAATTTCCTCACCATTGAAGACAACTGGAACATCCACCTTCAGTGCCGAGCCCTCGTCTGCCCACGTCATTACCAAATTAAGAATCTGCCCTGTTTCCTCATTCTTGTGAACCTGCGAAAAGAAAATCCTAATTTCAATCAAATCAAATAAAAACAAAATCGCAAGTCTTACTTTAATGGGGAGGACATTGCCCGACTGAAGCACCACGCCGGACCGGACGCCGGCTCGGATTTGGAGATCAAAGACAGTCGAGGTGAAGAATGGCGAGTCGCGGAGAAGATAATCAATCTGATGTTTGTCAAAGGTCAGGAGCTGCTTCCTAGAAACAGGTATGCCACCTTGGCCGGGAGCGATGACCACCGCCGGGATCCGGCCGGCAGCTCGCTCCTTAGTCGCGACTCGGCTACCGGTGTATTCCCTCGGGACTGCTTCAATCGTGTGGTATCCGCCGACCACGTTTCGCCGCCACAGCGGCGCCGCTGCTTTTCGCAGTAGCCCGCCGCCGCCTCTCCACCACCTCACCATCTTTCTCTCTTAGGGGCTGTTTGGTATGCGGATTTAGGCGGATTTAAGGCCGGATTTGGGCGAAATCCAGCCAAACGGCCTAAAATGCAAATCCAAATCTCACGGCAAACGAAATCCTCCGTGGACGGAAAATTCCGCCGATTCGCTCTAAATCCCGGATTTCCGAAATCCTTTGGTTCGGCGGATTTAGGGGATTTGGCCGAAGAAGTTTTTTATATTTTAAATTCTCAAATGTTATATAGATTTTTATTTGAAAAATAAAATATGTATTACTTTAAAATAAATTAATATACTTGACATTATTATATATTTTAAATATAAAAATATTCTATTTTTTATATTGGATATATAAATAAACTAAAAAAAAGGTACGCTTTCGATGTTCTTGTCGAGCCGGAAAATCGTTCATACACGTTTTTCCCTAGCGTGGTGGAAAGAAAACCCAGTACGAGGCCTACGGCGAGGGGGGTAAATATCGTACACGCTTTTCTCTAGCATGGCAGGGACGAATATAAAACTGTGCATTTCAAACAAGTATCGAAAGACCCATACATGACTTTCTATGGCATTGTTGGATTGAAGATTTTAGGGTCGCGGTGTCATCCAACACCTGTTGTACACGCTTTTCTCTAGCGTGGCAGGAGGCTCAAACTCCTGTAATTTTTCTAAATGGGGGAGATGTCGGGACCAAAGTTATACTAAACATGGACTTGATTGAACTCAAAAGGACAATATGAGACTTAGACTTGAACTTGATTTGGAACGAATTAAACATGAACTTGAACATAATTCAAATCCAAATAATAAGTGAACATTATAACAAAAATACAAATATCAAATGATGAATCAAAGTCATCCAAATAAGCATAATCAACAAAGCAGGGAACTCGTATTGGACTCAAATAAGCTTGAACTCAAAGGCCAAAGGGGAATTGAGTCTTAAGTTAAAAGTTTTTCATGCAACATTAAGTGGTAATCATAATTATTCAAACAAAAATCAGACGAAGGACTCATGATAAACGAAACATCAATATAACTTTATTGCATGTATCAATTGATAAAATTGAAGGAATATACAACAATATGTTTACAATCAATGAAATAGAAATAAGTCATCATATTGATTGAAATGCAAACTTCAATAGGTGAGTTCATTATACAAGTCACAAATTATCCCCAAAAGATTGCAGAAGACTTGTAACATGTCACATGACCCATCTACAATTAATAATCAACAAAGATTGTAGAGAACATGATGATTTGCTAACTGTTTGCAAGCAACAAAAAGTGGCAAGATGATGTCAATGAGAAACATAATGCATTCTTGAAGAAGACCTAAAAACTAGTGCACAATCAATGCTACTTAACTGTGAAATAAACACACTGAATATCTGTAATCAAAGTGCAATATGAAATGCTTATAAGCGGAATGTGAAGAGCACATAATGAAGACAATAAGATCTATATCGTCAACAACAATTCGATTTTAAGCAGGTGTAGAGATCTCCCTAAGAGCAGAAGGGGGTCAATGTGCAATGAGTATGATTATCTAACGTATACGGGATGCATGTGATGTACTACTTGTAAGCAGTAGTGGATGACTTATAATATGCAAAACAGCCCGCACACAAAGTTAAACAACAAATCCATAATTAATTTAAACTCCTTCTAATCACCGTAGGGAGCTCTTTTATGAAGTATAGTACTAACGGGTAATAGCTAAAGATTTGAAATACTTACAACAGTCCACTCATCCGACTTTCTCAATGTTTTGTATAATATTTGGAAGATTCAGTTCAGTAAGCAAATTCCAAAGCCAGATCCTGGTTAGTTTGTTAAGCTGGTCGGGATCCGGCTCGGGCGGGATCCGTCCCCGTCGGGTCGGGTCGTGACATAAACGATAACAAGCCACTACATGGATTCTTTGTGAACAATAGCAAGGAAGTCGATATGCAAGTAAATGCACTCGAACTTGCAAAGTGTAAGAACTCCTCCAAGCCACTTTAGGAGATTTATTTTAATAAGATAAGATAAGCCACCAAGCCACTCGTGTGAATTTAATAAGATAAGCTCCCACAAGTCGCTGAAGGAGGCCTGTTATACATTCAACTCTCTATCTACTAGCAAAAATGAAAGAACTGCAATAGACACAAACATCTACAATCAAAACAGGAGATTTGTTAGTGCACAATAATTTACTTGCAGAAAGAAACAGGTAGTGCATGACAGTTTACCTATATAAAGCAATGATCAGCCCGTAATACAACACCACTGGATTCGTAACTTACATACAAGCAGATAGAAGGCATGTACGAGCTCTCAAATAAAACACTAGATTCAAATTATAGTTGTCCATACAACTGACCTGCATTAAATATTTCCCAAAAAAACACCCCCACACATGCATTACAAATTTATACACGAACACAAAGAAAAGCATGTGTAATTGCACACCCACATGGGCCCTGACAAGCATATTATGGATACACATGTGACATCTAGGGATGTTGTGCAGGTCAATAAATAAATTCAAGTTTGAGTCCAATCCTTTATGTGGGCAGATAGGAGTCGACACGGCTCGAACCTTCAAATAAATATGTAGTCGCAATATAGACCAAGATCTTTATTTTATACATTCATATAAGCCTTTCAAGGCTAGTAATCAAGAAAATTCATTCACAGAGGCATGAAGCATATGACGAACCAGATCCTCCGTCACCAAGTTGACAGAGTCTATAAGGTTCAACCCACAAATGCAATTGTTCATTGACAGTCCAATGATGACCGCATTGAATACAAATCTCAATATCAGAGGTCAATTCTAAATAAGCAAAATGCCATCTAAAATACTCAAAAATCCAAATTTTCAAAACTCATCTAAAATTTAAAATATTTAAAATTGAAATTATCCATCTAATACTTAAAACAAAATTCATACACCCTCCCTAACAGTTTGTTAAGGTGGACAAATAAAAAATTACTTCAGCTCACAAAGAGCTAATGTCTGGTCGAGAATATCACTAGGATTTATTCTCAAATCATCTCCTGCCAGCGGGAACATGGCATGTATCCTCTAACCGGCAGTTTTGCAGCCAAATGACATCGCAGGTAAACAGTTATGACTGGGGCCCTCTGAACCAAGTGGTTTGCCGCCAAGTGGCACCATCAAATTATGGTTATGATCAGAGCTCATAAGCTCCCCAATGGTATTAAATATTTGAAATATGAATCAATAGTATATAATCGGTTGGGCACAATGCCATATGTTAGCTAATTTTACTTCAGTCCATTAAACCTAAAATAAGATGCAATTTTGAAAATCTAGTATGCTTTGCATTACAAGTAAAATATATTTCAATTGTAAAGACTTTAACCAATGAAACAAAACAAAAGAAAGAGATGATTTTATATGTCAAAATGCAAATGCAACTCGCTTGAATATCCTAGTAATCTCAAATCATCATTGAAATAAATAAACAAAGAAACCAACATTAAATGTTCATGAGAGGCTTACACTGAGGTAGTAGAACCAGCTATAATGCTAAATTCCTTCAATCAGCATACCTATGCCCTACACATAACAAATATAATATAAATAAGCAAACAAGAACAATAAGTATGTATTTCATTAAATTTCTAAAAGTTTTAGGGAAATTTTTTTAATCCTGGCAACTTCCTATCACATAAATTTTTTTTTTTGTGGATTTTAAATGTACTTAAATTACTTCAAAACAAGGTAACTGACAAAGTCATCATCGCCTTGCAATGATCATATGGAATACAATAGTTTCTTTGGCAAATGACACATTCTTCGATGTAGTTCTCTCATTGGTAACATGCACTAAACAATAGTGAAAATTTTAGGCAGAGTTATTTGATTTAGAATGAGATTCATTTTAGCCTTCAATCCTTTATCATAGGAAGAACTGCACAAGAAAAGTCACCCTTTCCTATGAGCCACTACAACATGCAAGTGATTAACAAGATTTGATATCAACTTTACTATAGGCAAATTAGGTTCATTTTAGCATGATTTCCCTTGATGTTAATTTTACTTGAGGCAGATTAGGTTTATTTTAGCAAGATTTCTCATGATGTTAATACTATAATTTATTAAGATATTTAGTTAAAATTTTCAATGGATGCAAGTCCTTATAGTTAATTACCCTTTTTAAAAAAAAAATTTGACATACAACGGTCAATAATTATTTCAGAAGTCAATATAGGTATAAATCACAAACCGTACGTCATAACCATATCATATATATTATTGTGTTTTAGCTTCACTATCTTTGTCATAATTTTTGGGCACCGATGAAATTCTTTAAGAAATTAACACTTGTCGGCACAAGTGGGAGTTTTGATATCATTGGACGTATGTTTTACTAACCGATTTCTCCATAACATTCTAGACATGCTTAGTTAATTTATGAATATTTTTGTATAATTTTTTAATCTCTAGATATGAAGATATAGATAGATTATGAGTTAAAAGTTGATTAATTAGTATAATTATATTTAAGTCATTATAATATTTTACTAAAAATAATATCTAAAAATATAATGATTCTTATTAAATGGAATTTTTCATTTTCCCCAAGTGCATTTGAGCTAATCGAGAATAGGAAAAGGAAAATGTAAAAGAAAAGTGAGAATGAAGCAAGAAAATATGATTTTAAAGGTTATAGAGCCATTGTTGTCCTTCAACCCAGTTAAGAAACTTGTTCGTCTCAAGATAGGTCGCACTATGCATGTCTCAATTTAAAAACAAAACAAAATTTTAATCAAAAATTTCAATTAAATTTTTGTTTCCATTAGCAAAAAATGCTCATAATTGTGCACTGTAAAGCTTTCACCACATAATTTTTTATATGTTATAGAGATTAAAATTATGACCATTTTTTATATTTTTTAAAAATTTTACAACATGAATTTGAAATTTATGGGATTTTTATTGGATTAAAAATTATCTCGACTTTGAAAAATAGTGTTTATTATGATAAAAGTCTTAAAATATAGGTCGGAGATAACATAGTTATCCGACGAAGGAGGTAAGAAGAACCTCAATTTTTGGGAGGTTCGATGTGAGTTAGGTGGATGTTCGATAATAATCGGCTAATGAAAGTTTGACAGTGATGTTCGTATGGCGAGGACCCACGATGATGTATGGGTGGAGCTCTAAGAT